CTTACGGCTCACTATATGCTAGGTTAAGATTTACGTGTTTAAAAGTTCTCAGACTATTCCTTACATCATCGTCCGTTATAGACTAGTAAGGCTCCTCGATCCTCACCTATTACAGGCTTACTATCGAAAAGGATTCAATTGAGTGAAAGTATTTCGCTAGCAAATACGAAGGTTATCACCTCACGAGAGCATAAAGCATAGCTACTTCACTTCTTCCTAAAAGGGATAGAGCCTGGGTCTAGAGCTCATGCATGAATATGCAAAGTGTGTGCAAAATAATGTATTAATCAAAATACCATAAACACAAAATTAAAATAAAATAACAACTAACATACAATTTATCTTATTCATTAACGCATATTTTTTAAAAAAATCAAAATAAAGGAGATTAAATGAAATGTCAAACAAAACCAATTAAATCCAACAATTCTTAATAGCACGTAATTAAAAGTTTTGGCTTGACTCTCAAATTAAAGTCCCTAGTAGAGTCTCCAAGCTATCGTAACGGTTTTGAGACCGTCAGACGTAAATGAGTTTTAAAATCAAAATAAGGATCGCCACCAATCTTGGTTAGGGTGTGATTGGCCACCCAAAAGTTTATCATTTTAATAAAACTATAAAAATGGGTTTAAAATTTATCAAAAAGATAAATTTTGATTTACGAAAATTAGGTTGGGTCCAGGAGTTGGTTACGTGTGAGAAATGATTAGCACCCCACAACGCCATAAATTGGTACCATTTAATTACGCGCTATTTTCGATGTTGGATAAAAATGGTTTTAATTTAAAATTTAACACTAATTCCCTTTATTTGGAAAAATAAAATTTTGCTAAAAATTTTTATTTAGAAATATTGAGAAAATCTTTAAGTTAAAGAATTATCTTAAAATTCTCCAACATCTAGGCAGAATTAAAAATAACTCTTTTCGCTTAAGATTTAACACGATAATCCTTAAAATAAAATAACAATCTTTATAGAAGATAATTGTTAGTGACTTTCCAACATCTAGGCAGAGTACCAAGAATTATTTTCTTCGAAATGTTATTTTTATTTTATTTTATAATATCATAAAAAAAAATTTTAAATGTTTTATTCTTTTTTATTATAAAATATTTTATCATCAAACAGTAAATTAAAGAGAAAATAATACCGATAATTATTGATGATAACACGCTAACGTATGTATGCTAATGGATGTCATATAAAATGAAATGCAATTTAAAAGTTAGGTTTTTAAGTATAATGAGACCACACCGACTCTCCAACATCTAGGCAGAGTTTAGGTGTGACTGTTTATATTTAAGATCCCAATTTATTATTATATTTTTTATTTATTAATCTTATTATTAATGTGAATTAAGAACTCGTGTGAAAAACTTAATGAAATGGAGTTTCCTAAATATCCTATCATTTAGGCAGCATTCGAGAACAAATCATTTCATGTGAGATTTTCACACGTATTCTTAAGGTTTTGAAATAGATTTAGGGTTTTGATTTTAGAGATTGAAGATTTTAGGGTTTCGTTTTAAAATTTGAGGTTTGGGGTTTTGATTTAAGGGTTTGAATTTTAGGGGGTTTGGATTTAAAAGTTTAAAAGTTTGAGATTTTAGATTTTGGGGGGTTTTGGATTTTATAGGGGTTTCGAATTTAGGGGTTTGAATTTAAGGGATTTTGGATTTTTAGGGTTTCAGATTTTATGAGGGTTTTGGATTTTAGGATTTTGAAAATTAAAAATTAGTGTTTAAGTTTCGTTTTTAAGAAAATACGAACATCTCTAAAAACTTCCAACATCTAGGCGAATTTTTGAAGCAAGTTCGATTTTTATGATTTTTGAAAACTAATTAAAAATTTATTATGTATTTTTTTTATGAAAATTTATTAATAATAATTCTCCAACATCTAGGCGAAATTATTTCTTTAGAAAAATATTTTTTTTATTCCCTCCAACATCTAGGTAGGAAAAATAAAAAGCTTATTACATTATTATTATTATTTAAATATTTTTAATATTTTTTTAGTTATTATCCTATATTGTTTTCATTTTATTATTATTAAAAAAAATAATTAGATATTTATCCTAATAAATTTAAACATTTATCATGCATAAATATAAAAACTTAAAATAACGAAAATAATAGTATATAAAAAAAATTAAAAAAATTAAAAAAATTGTTTTTACCTGAACTGGACCGGTCAATAGTCCGATCAACGTTGGTTTGGGCCGGTCTTACCGGTTCGACGGTTCAATCAGTGGTTCGGTGATCCAACGATTTGGATCGGTTCACTGGCGGTTCATCTGAATCGATTCAAAGCTAGCTAAAGCAGACCGTCGGGTTGGGTTACGGGGATCTCGAGTTAGGTTCGATCCACGCGAGGATCCTCTTATGCTTGAAACGGCGTCGTTTTGGCCCTATGCTCAAAACGACGTCATTTTACTTCTATGTTTTCTATAAAAGTCAGTTTTTTTCCAGCTATTTTGCCATTTTCAACAAAAAGAAAATTTCAGAGCTTTCGGTTCTCTCTGTCCTCCACCGAAATCCGGCGCCGTGCGCTACTCTGACCATCATGTGGGTCACCGGTGACCAAAAATTTTGAAATCCTCTTGGAAGCTCTTTTCGACGCGATTTTTTCAGATCCGGTCTCCTCTTTGTCGGAAACGACCTCGATCATTGTAGATCGAAGTTCGAAGTTTTATGTTCTTTTTTTTTTTAAACTCAAACTAATAACCTTTCTTTTTTATTGCAGATATCTCTTTGGCGTTGGGTTCCTCACCGATTCAGTGAGGACTGTGGTTTCTATTTTTATGATTTTTTTATGTTGATTTTCGTAGATCTATTTGTTTTTCTATTTGGTAGTGGTGGTGTTTAGTTTTTTTTTTATCTAAATGTTGTTGTAGGGGTGCGTGTTTTTTGGTGTTTTTGTGAAAGGAAATCCGAGAGTTTTAGAGGAGGGAGATCAAGTATTTTATAAGGTTAGAAATGGTGATTGCATGTGCTGATGGAGTGAAGGGACTAAACGAGAGGGTGGTATGATGGCTGGGGTAGTGGCATGATGGCTAGGCCGATTTGGCAGGGCGTGGGTGGCCAGCGGTGCCATGCACGGCACCCGCTGGCACCAGCCCTTTTCTTCTTCTATTTGGATTTTTTTGTTTACCTTTCTTTCTTTTTTTTTTTCTTTTTTTGTTTAATTTTTTTAATTAATTAAATTTTTTTAAATATTATAAAAAATATAAACCCGGATAAAATTCGGTGTTTACAATCAGTTAGATCGAATAACGTTAAATTATTATCTCTTATATGATTAATTAATTATTTGATTTTGCTTTCGTTGATGTGATTAGATTAAACTTTTTAACTTAACAAAAATTAGGTTTAATTTTGGTTTGAGAGGGTTCATATGCATCGCCATTTTCTATTATTTTCAGTTCTATCTGCTAAGCCGGTATCTCTGTTATTGCACTTGTTGCCTAATCATTCTTTCAGGTTCATCAACAAATTGGATCTACCATGGCTTTTCCACTTCACAGAATTTCACATCGATTAAACCAAGATTTGTTGTTCACCAAGAACACTAACCGGAACATAGCAGTGAAAAAGCCTATCAGTGATCAAATTAGTTTCTTCATTAAAAAAAGATGAAAGAAGTTGTGCTCATTTAAATTCCATTTACTATCCAGTTTTCCATCTAAGCCTACAATAGCTATGTCAAGAAATTTTGCCAATCTCCTCCCACCTTCTGCTTGTCCCACAATGCCAATTTCTCACTGTTGTTGACCAAGAGGCTCTCTAAGTGCCTCTTTTTACATCTTTCATACAAAAGTTTTTCCAATTTATTGCAGTAAATTTATACTACCATGTATTAAGACCCAAACACAAGCCAAAAAATGGAAAACATTGGCATTGGACACTAGTTAAAATGATATTATTGAATTTAGTGAAAGTAATGCATTAAATGTAAAAATCTTTGGACCAATCTGCTAATAATTGCATTATTATTAAACTACATGATTGTTTTAAATTCTAATCGTCAAAAGACATGAATCAAACTCTGGCAGAATCCCTACTTTGTTAAAGAAAAGGAATAAAGACGAAAATCAAGCATAAGGAGACCCCATTAAGCAGATAAAATCATACATGGGAAAACGGTGCTGCACTAGTTTTACTCAAATCCCAATGTTGAACCCCTTCTACTTTTGCTTACCAGAATTGCTGCAAAGCCCGCACCTTTGACCACTAATCTAAATACCTAAACATGATTTTAACATTTTATTAAAAAAAAAAAAAACCGATTTCAACAAAGATTATAAACTTGTCCCACCATGATTTTTTTTAACTATGCAATCATTAATGTAATGATATAAGATCGTATCTTCTAAAGAAAGATCTTAAAAGACATATTTAAGATTTCATCTTGAAAAACATCACGTTAAAGACAATTTTATTTTTTTTATAAGCCCCCGAGTCAAAAGTTATACTACTGCTATATATGCAAATGAGATTTCTACGATAGGCTTAGGTAACGTGTTCCCCTTTTATTGTTTGAATTTGAATTTATTAAAAAGCTGTGGTTTATAAGAAAATAATCTTTTATGAATTTATTTTAAATAAATATACTTGGATCTATTTCATGAGAATATGTGGATAAAACCCACAACCCTTACTGCTTAAAACAAAAAAAAAAAAAAAAGAAAAAGAGATTTCTTATTCAAAAAGAGTGCGTAGGAACTGTCCTTTCAAGAGAGATATTTATATGATCAATTTTGGATTATGACTAAGTGCTAAGGGACGTATATGGGTCAAGCATTTGCAGTTGTGATATGCACGATTTACACGAGGGGTCGACCAATGAGTAAACACAAACTCTGCACTACTTTGGTGGGAACTTGAGATTGTGCCTGTCCTAAGGCAGCCAAAATCTTACTTTCTCTCTTTACGAAGCAAGTGCAAGTGCCGCTTCTACAACAGCAATTAAAGAACAGCAGGAATATCTTGAGTTGTCAGTCGTACTTTAATAAAGAAGGTTCCTCCTTTAGTGAATTTGAAAATACCCAAATACTCGAAGTTTTGAAAACCAATACACATTTATACATAACCTCTTATTGCAGGCAAATGTTCTTACTTGTTTCGAGAGTTTTCTCCAAAGCATCCCTTTGTCTGCACTCAAAGAACAATAAGCTGCAGACTCATACAAAATCCTAACCCTTTCATTCCATCTCCTCATCTTTTATTTCAAAAACCAACCAAAAGAATGTCGACTCAAAAACAGCAGCCTCAAACACAACAACCCGTTGTCGTTTACCCAAATACTGTGTCAGGGCAAGCGCTGCCATCTCATTCTCACTCGGATGGATCCTTTGGAACAGTTTTTATAGTGCTGGCAGTAATCATTGTTATTTCAGCTATAGCTTGCTTTCTTGGAAGACTTTGTAACCGGCGCAAGAGCCAAACAAAACCCTCTAAGCAAAACCAAAACCATGATTTCCGTCCTAAAGAAAGGGACATCGAGTTCGGGTTTGACGGAAGGGTTCCTGCTGCCAAATCAACTAGCCATGGTGAACCCAATAAAGGGTTCAAAATGCCTGGAAATGGAGATCACATAGGGTTCAGAATGCCTGAACATAGGGATCCTGCAAGAATTAGAATGCCTGGAAATGGAGATCTTACAGGATTTAGAATGCCAGGAAATGGGGATCCCACAGGGTTCAGAATGCCCAGACATGGAGGTGAACCTAAGCCTGTTGATGATGGAGCGATAAAGGCCGGTGCATGATATGGTACAGAATGAAGACCGTTCCTGAGTTGTGGCACTTTATTTATCTTCTTTTTGCAAATGTTTGCCTTTAACTTAATGGAGTTTCTTATTTTTATGATGTTGCACATGTATTTATTTGCTCATGTTGATCTTATAATATGGCAAAGATCTAGGGAAAATATCATGATCCAAAGAAAAAAATTTTCTAATAGATTTCCACAATCAATTTCCACATTAATCAACATTTTCTTGAATACAAAATTTGAAACATACAATGGGATTGTAAAAGCTACAAGCAATGGGATTATGGGAGGATAACATAGCAGTCACGTGACTTGTTTACATTAAATTCAGGTCAATATGACCATAAATAAAAGAATGATGGCCAAATTTATTCAAATAAAAGATAAGGGGGCCAAAATGATCAATTTTTTATAATTCGAGGGCTAAATATGTCATTATGCCTTATATATATATATATATATATATAATCAAGGGTATTCAGGATATTATCTGAATTTTTTATTTTTCTCCTAAAATAAAATCTATTTCGGTTCTCTGGAAAAAAAAAAAAAGAAATTATTTAGGTAAAAAAATTACAATTTCGTTTTCATGATTTATTTTAACGAGAAAAAATGTAAGCTGTAAACTTGCAATTATAGACATTAGTTCCCTAAGTTGGGCTTGTATATGAACGTTAGGGTCCAGCTTGTTGAAGCCTAAAGTTTTATTATTATTATTATTTTTATGGTGAAAGAACCTCTTAAGCTCAATATTTGAGCTTCTAACAACAGGCTCTGCCCTCTCAAAGATGAGCACTTGTTCTCCAATCTCAACAATCTATCCTATCATTCTACAAATAATTAATTCATTTTTCTAAACTTATAAATAAATCAATTAATGATTGCTCTCAATATCCATTCCGTGCATTGTGAGAGCAATGACCAGAGCTTTATTTTATTGCTTCTAGTTTGTTCAAGCCCAACGTGGGAAAGAAGAAAAAGTTGTCTGCCCTTTGCGTGTGGTTTTGCTTTGCAAGCTGTTCTGCCTTCTTATGATCACATGATTCAACAGTTTTAGCAAAGAAGAGCGTACAAACTAAAACCAAAACCAAAATCACATAGTTTTGGATAGCATTTAATTTATAATTATTTAATTATAATACAATTAATTAATTATATTTTAAAATTATGTTAGATTTATTAAAATTTTATATAAAACTCTGTGAATTTTTACGTAAATATTTTATTATAATTGAACAATTATAAAATTATAATAAAAAATTATAAATAATATATTCTCATATTCTTCTCTCAAATCCTCTCTTAACTTTTTTCCATGCGCCGTTGTGGATTTGTTTTCAAGTCAAGAGAACATACCAATTCATAACCTACATTCTTCGTTTTCTTCACGTGATGAGATATTGGTTGTTTTGTTAGGATATAGATACAGATGAATGTAAAATACATATTGTAAGTCACTGAAAAACAAAATAAGAAACTGAAAATCAGAACAATTGCTATGCCCAATTGTCAATAAATACGATCTAGTGGTACAAAATAAAAATAATATAAAAATAATATAATTTAAAATTTTAATAAAAATAATATATAAATTTATTTAAAATAAAAATATATTTTTTATTAATACAAATTATGATATGATCATTTTTATATTTTATATATTCAAATATAAATGCACAAATTATTAATCTTCCGCATGCAACAATGGAAAAGAACTAAAGGGAGAGTGGGAAAATGAATTGTGCCAACAAAATATACTCTGCTAGCAATGGATAGTGATGGGTTTTTGCAGTTACGGGTAGCTGTCACAAGGGCTTTTGAACCACTGGATAGTCGTTTCAAAGACTGATGATTCTGGTAGTATTCAAGCCAAAAAAAACTGCCTCTGCCTCCGGAGGCATCAGATGCCTCTGTCACAGATATTGTACCCGATTAAGATGATCCTTTTTTAGTACCCAATTCAAAAGAAAAAATAGTTGGTTACCCTTGTCTTGTACTATCATTGCCTTGAGCTTTAAAATCTTCCCTTTCTTTTATCTATTTACTACTGTTTTCCCAGACTCTCGTAGTTGTATATAGGGAGACAGAAAAAGACTGTCAAAATAATTTCTTGGTTGTTCTGAAAGGAGGTGACAAAGACAATGAGAGGTTTTGAGAGAGCAGTGGAGTGGCTTAGACCATTTGTAGATAGTAAGACTTGGGATTTCTGTGTTGTTTGGAAATTGGGTGATGATCCTTCAAGGTACTTTCAAACTACCTGTTTCATTACCATTACCCACTATAAACCAGTACCATCTTCGTTCGTTCTTTTTTTAATATTTGGGGAGTTAATTCAAACTCAGATGAAGGTTTTTTTTTTTTTTTTGTAGGTTTATTGAATGGAAGGATTGTTGCTGTAGTGGTGGTATTCATGTCAAAGTGGAAAAAGATGAGTCGCAGCAGCACTTGGGTCCCTTATGCAGGGATGCGCACTTCCAACATTCCATAAGATCAAAGGCTTGTGAAGCTCTTTCCCATTTTCCTTTTGTCATGTCCCTCTATGCTGGGTAGACTATTCTCAACTTCTAAAAAAACTGCTTCGTTTTCAATTTGGGGAAAAAAAGATAGCGAGAAACATTTTGATTTCTGACAGTGAAAACAGGAGTCATGGAGAGGTGGCTATGTCAAATCAACCAAATTGGGTAAATCATGCCAATGCCTCTGGCTCGGATTCTTCACATGTGGGTAGTTTTCACTCTCATCACTTTCTTTTGGTCACTGTGCAAACAAATAGAAAGGAGAAAATATACTTTGGATTTTGTAGTTTATGAAAATGCAAGTTTTATCTCGGTAGTTTAAGCAGGTTTAGCTTACTAAAAATGCATAGATGGGCTAAGTTGTCATGCATGCCTGGGTTAGAATGTTTGATCTACCTCAAGCTCATAATAAAAGGCTATGAATCTGTTTGCTTAAAAACCACTTTGATGCTTTAGTTTAATCAACTAATTTGTGGAATGTACACACACGTACATATTGTCTTCTTGAATTATAGTTTTAACCTTATATAAGACAATCATCTTTCAGGCATCATGGAGTATTTATTGTCTGAAATGTTGCCCCAGCCGTTTCTATATTTTGATATGATCAATATGATTATGACAGGAAACAATGGGAACCCAAGTTCTGATCCCGGTTTTTGGTGGTCTTATCGAGCTCTTTGCTTCAAAGCATGTAAGATTCTTTGGCTTTTTCACTTACCAGTATTTTGCAATGCAATAGAGATATTCATATTCGCATCTCATTAATTTCCTTCCAATCCATTAGTCTCCTCCAACTGATAAACATGTAATTTGTCCTCTTTATCAGATACCAAAAGATCAAAACATCATAGAGTTAGTAACAACTCAATGCAATGCACTTTTAAAACCAGAAGTCACGACTGCAGAAAGCTATACAAAAGAAAATCTTGACAAATGGTATCACAACGCATTGCTCGAAAAGGACTTGCATAACTTGCCATTTTCCATTAGCTTGTCAACTTTCATTCCCAGAATACAATCCATTCCGCTGGCATCAGATTCAAACTCCCATCCTAGCTTGGATGGATCGTCCAGGGGTCCCAGTCCCTCAGTTGAACATCCCCCATTTGCTTCAGGTTCTGCCTGTAGTTCTCAAGATGAGCAATTGAAGCAGCTAATTGGCACATACAATGGGACGAAAAGACTAAGATGTAGCAAAAATGTGTCTGAGCAACAAGCAGTATTTGTTCTGGATCATAAGACCAATTCAGTAAATGACAAAATAAGAACTACCAAGAAGCCAGAAAAAGAGAATTACCATTCTAAGAATCTTGTCACAGAGAGGAATAGAAGGAAGAAAATAAAAGACGGGCTCTTCAAGCTACGAGCTCTAGTCCCTAAGATATCCAAGGTTAGCCAGAACTGCCAAAACCTGTAATAGCCAAGTTTACTCTTCTGCTTTCTTATTTGATATCTCTAATGTTTTTGCTGTTCTATATTGTAGATGGATAGAACTGCTATTCTTACAGATGCAATCGAATATATAGGGGATTTGCAGGAGGAGAAGAAGAAACTCCAAAATGAGCTCACGAAAATTGAGGAAGAGGACTGTGAAAAGAGCAACTTAGAACTGAAGTCTGCAAAGTTAGACAAGCTACATAAGGACATGTCTGCTGTTAAGCAGAACCAAGTTTCCTCTGGCCTTGCTGATATGGAAAAAATGGAGGTAAATGGAATTGAAATTAAACATTGATTTTGTTATTACTTTTGTCACAGTTTCCATATATTTGTTGTCAATGGGAGCAAACATGATCAATGAAACCCTCAACCAACTTATGTCTTGAATCTTTTCTCAGGTACATGTAGAAGTGAACCAGATAACCAAGAGAGAGTTTCTGATTAAGCTCTACTATGAGCACAAGCGAGGTGGCTTTGCAAAGTTGATGGAGGGTATAGATTCTTTGGGACTTCGGGTGATTGATGCTAATGTCACAACATTTAATGGAAAGGTGCTCAACATTTTCAAAGTTGAGGTAAGACTCACTGGATGGTTGATATCAATGGAAATAAATTGCTAACATCTTTCTGAAGGTTTCTTAGGAACAATATGGATTCGATTAGTCCATTTAGCTTTGCAAAGTACCAAAGACGGAGTCTAATAGTGTTATAATAGCACCATAGCTTCAAAGATTTTAAAAACAGAAATATTTATATTTTTGTTAATCTATTGAACTTCTGTCTTAGGAACTAGTAATGAGTGATTTTCCTCTCGGGCTTATATTTTCTGCTAACACTGTATCTGTTACACTTATGCTAGGCAAACAGGGATTTTCATTCCAGGAAATTGAGAGACTTGTTGACCGACCTACAGAACTAGATAAATCAGATTCCTGCTTCCATATACAGTACAGAAAATGTAGATTGAGAGTGAGACAATGTACAGTAAAATGGACAGCTAGGCTGAGAGACAAGAAACCGTTCCATTCATGCAACTTCACTTCAAGCTGCTCCATCAATCATGACTCAGAACTTTTGGCTGTAAAAATTTAGTGGGTATCCCCCCCCTTTGATGCTGGTTCTTACACATGTAGTTTTACCAAATTTTACATAAAATTGCTAAATCTAAGAGGACAATCAAGCTTTTGTTTCACGTTGGCTTCTTTTTCTTTACAAGCTTTTCGATACTCAAAATTCATGATTCCAGGGAAGTAAAGATAGTATCCATAGTTTACATAAGAATACTATGCACAATAATTCATTTGAACTAACTGTGTGAATAGCCCAGGGAATTGACGTTTATCTGAAGCGACTACCACTGTAGTTCACTGAGGCAACACTATACTCGCCACTGGATGGTTTAAAGGCTTGAATTTCTGACTCGCCACTTGCGAAGTCACCCGAACTATACCGGGACTTCCAGGAATTTGGTTGTCCACGTGATACTTCCCTGGAATTGTGTTCTCCAGTATACATGTCATATTCCGAGCTGTTGTCAGTGCCAAGCGCCGTCTGTGGGAATTGATGCGTAACTCACCATTTTAACAAAACACATTAATTAAAGACTGTACTAAAGCATACCATTGAGATGGTTGTCCACCAAAACCCATCAAGGTGATTGCTGAAGCTATTGCCGCCTTCTCGTGCCACCTGTAGCTCCGATTCTGGGGATGGAATGGGTTCCCTGGTCAGCCATAGAGGGAAGAGGAAGGAAGAGTGTTGAGGGAGTTTTGCTGTATTCTATTCAACGAACCACAGTACCGAGCATAAGGGGCAGCTATCTATTTTTTATATATCAATTTCAAAATGGTTAAAAGTGATTAATTTAAATATTATATAAAATTTAAATTAATAATAAATATGTAATTTTTATTAATTTATTTAATTTAAATTTAAATTAATTAAAATTAAAAATAGAGTTAATGTAAAATTAAATTGCTTAAAATTTTAATGTTAAAAGTAATTGATTAAAATATTTTTAGTAAATATTTTTATAAATTTTAATTTAAATGAATTTTTTATTATTAGACTCTTTTTAATAATTAAACTAAAAAAGCTAAAATTAATTAACTAAAATACTCTTAATAAAATTTTAATTTTAAAAATTTTAAAAGTAATTGATTAAAATATAATTAATAATATTTTTATAAATTTAATTTAAATGACTTTTTGTTAAAAGATTTTTTTTTTATAATCAGAATGAATTTTTTATATTTGTTAACTTTGAATTGATAAAAGTTTTTAAATTGACAAAATAAAAATTTACTTAACTTGAATCAAACTTATTTTATCTCAAATTAAATATTTTTTCAACCTTTTATCTTGTCAAAATTATTTTTGAATTAAACCAAAATATGTTCTGGAAACAAATATGGACTTTTGGACAATTTGGGATAAAAGGGATCGATCTCTTCACATGACCCAATTGATCCTTTAGCTAAAAGGATTGATCCATTTTTCTTCCAGTAGCCTATCTCATGCAAATTTTTTAAAAATCAATCGATCTCCTCCTTGTAGGGGTCGATTGGCTAGGTTTTCTAAGTAAATCAATCGATCCCCCCTTTAAAGAGATTAATCATTTTTTATCGAAAAGTAAAATAGGTTTCAAAACTTGTAGAAGGGATCGATCCCCCTACATAAGAGATCAATTACTTGGGATAAGAGATCGATCAGGTCCCTTACCTGATCAATCGGGTAGCTTGATTGTGCGTAAAATTTGTCTAATTTTTAATTGACACAATCGATCCCCTATATGAAGGGATCGATCCCCTGATGCTCAAAAAGCTCCAACGACTAGAATTTTGTCTGAAATTTTATAAGTTTCAAGCATTAAATGCAAGCAATGGATATCTTCCTCTTTTAACATATAAATGAAGGTTTTTCACTGCATTTAAAGAGTATGAAAAGCCAAGAAAACTTATTGCTTCCATCTATCATATTCTTCAAGCATTAAAGAGCATTTTAGAGAGAGAAAAGTGTAAAAAATTCATATTGTATTTATTTTTCTGTTAACATTCTCCTTTATCTTGATTTGTACTTCAAATTAATAAACACCCAACCTTAAAGAGGTTCTTTGAATTTGTAAAACACTTAAAAGTGTGTATTATAAGGTTGTGAGCTTAAGGTGAAAGATAACCCTTAAAAAAATATGGTATTGATTGTATGGAGTTTTGAAGAGTTAGGTTGTAACTGTTAACACAATATGGATTGAATTCCTTGACAAGTGAGACTAAGAAAGAGGATGTAGGTGCCTAAAGGAATGGTCGAATCTCTATAAATTTTGATATTTGATTTTTTATCTCTATCTCTTACTTTTAAGATTATTAGTATACTCATATTTGTTGTGTTTATTTGCTTAGAAAATTAGTTTGTAAAATTTGTGCTTGTTAGATATTGAATTTTGAAAAATTTATTATTAACCAATTTATTCCATTTTAGTTTATTTCAAGTTTTTGAGCTAACAATTAGTATCAAAACTAGAATTATTTTTGGTAGGTCTAACAATCGAAGAGTGATCCTAAAATGACTCAAAAAAATATAGTGATAAATGTGGAGCAACCATCCTTAAGCTATAACAAATATGGTAGGCAATAAGAAATGTATCTCATGGCAAATGAAACAATTGCTACATCTCTTAGAGGTGAAGGCCATTCCATTGTAAGACCTTTTTTTTTTGTTTGTGACAACTACTTATATTGGAATATTAGGATGTGATTGTTTATTCAAGCTAATGACTATGAAGTTTGGAGGGTTATTGTAAATGATCCTCAAATTTCAATAAAAATGATGGATGATAGAGAGATGGTTAAGCAAGAAAGTGAATGGATGCGAATGATATCAAGATGGCTAAACTCATTGCGAAGGCAATACATACATTCTTTTATATATTGGGGCCTAGAGTACAATAGAGTTTTATTATGTGAAAATACAAAGAAAATTTGGGATAAGGTGGCCATAATTCATGAAGGTACTAATCAAGTGAAAGAGATTAAAATTAGAATGCTCACTCATGATTATATATTATTCAATATGAAATCAGAAGAAACAATTAGTGAAATATCAAATTGCTTCACTGATATCATTAGTGGTTTGAAGGCTCTTAGGAAGACTTACTCAAATGTGAAAATGGAGAAAAAATTTTAAATAGTCTACTAAATAGTTGAAAAGCTAAGGTGACAGCCATTGAAGAGTTCAAAGATCCTCACACACTCTCTTTGGATGAACTCATAGGCTCTCTTCTTACCTATTAGATGAAGCTCAAAAAAGGGCAAGAATTAATCAAAAAAGGTGGTATTGCTCTTAATTCAACTTTTTAAAAAGATGAAGAAAAACTTGAGCAAGATAAGGTTGATGAAGATGAAAAAATGATTATGTTTGCACAAAATGTTTAAGAAGTTCATAAAGATGAACAAGTTATCAAATAGAAGAAGAACATAGAGGGAAATGATCAAATAAGAATCAAGTAGAAGAGAAAGGGATCAAATTGTTTGCTATGAATATAATAAACTGAGTCATATCAAATTTAATTGTCTTTTGTGAAAAAAAAACTCAATAAAGCTAAAGAAGAAAGCAATGGTTACAACATGGAGTGATAGTGACTTCTTCGATGATGAATCAAATGAGAAGGAAGTAGTCAACCTATATCTCATGGCTCTTGATAAGCCTAAGGTAATTTCTAATTCAAATTATTTAAGTTCATATATATTTGATGAATTGCAAGATACTTTTGATGAATTAGCTATAGAATTTGAAAGCATGAACATGAAGTATAGGAAAATGATTTTTAAGTTGAAGGTAGAGAATGGGCTTTTAATTAAAGCAAATAATAACTTAGAAAAGGAAATTGAGCTTTTAAAATTGAATGTTAATGATTTGATTAAGAAAAATGAGAATTTGCATAACTTATTTTCTAGATTTTATATGGGATATAAAAAACTTAATGATATGCTTAAAACACAAAGAGCATTCCTTGATAAAAATGAATTAAATATAATAATGGTGATAAAAAGATTCATTTGAAGAATTTTCTTGTTAAAAAACTTTTAGACTTACATCTAGTTTATGGCATTTTGTTGAATGATGTTGTATATGGATGTTAGTGAAATGAAAATTTTTTTCTATTTTATGAATTTTATTTCAAATATTTTTTTACTTTTCCTCGGTCTAAATGGTGATATTTTTTTTTTCCTATTTATTTTCTCTTTTATTTTTGTTGTATAATACACAAGCATATTTAAATGGTGAAAGATATTGCATATTCAAAGATATTGCCTATTCTTTTCGTGCTTATTTACTTTTTTATTTTTGTTAAATAATACACAAGCAAGTTGAATAGTGAAAGATATTACTTTTTTTTTTCCAATTTATTTCCTTTTTTATTTATGTTGTATTGTAATTTTTGGCTTTCAGGTGCAATTTTCTTTTTTTTTTTTTGTAAAATGTCATTTCAACAATTCACGTAAACTCATTTATCATATCATCATGTCAGATGTTAAAGTTAGTTTAATTTAATGGAATTTTATTTAATTTATTAATTTTGAAAGTTTGTGGATTTATTTATATAAAAATAAAAAAATATAAACTGATTTACATGTAATAAAATTTTGAAGGTTTAAATCCATTTTATAAAATTTTTGAGTATTAAGTCTACAAAAAGTTATAAAAATTTACTTATGTTATACCCAAATTAAAATTAAATTGTTAGTGATTATCATTATTATCAAAATATAAAAAATTAATTATTAAAATAAAATTTGAAAGATAAAATCGCACGTATCAATAATCCTAAACATCTGACTCTTTAAATAATGCTTTTCAAACCACGGATTAAATTAATTAACCAAAATCGCCAGTTTCAAGGGCTTGAACGAGGAGTGATCGTGCCTGGCCAAATTATGATAACATTTCTCAATTGGAAACCAAGAAAAAAAATTCATAGTGAGACTCATAAAGACATCATTTTAGCAGTCTAATACATTCTAGTATTTCTCACTTTTTTTCTTTTGGTATTTCAGTTTGAAATTTCATAAATATATATTCAAGAGACCAGAGTCTACAACTTTAAATACAAGGTAGAAACTCTTTCAAGAGTTGATTTAAAGAAAGGCCTTCGTGAGAAGTTGATTGTAACTATCATCCCCAAAGGCTGAGTTGGATCAATGGGCTTTGGCCCTTTTATAAGTTCCAGGAGCACAACTCTGAATGACGCTATTCACGTAAAATTTGAGATGGATAGACTCTTTAATCTTTTTATGTCAAAATAAAATATGATGATGAATAATTATAAGTTGTATATTTAAGATGATTTTAATAAATAATTATTGATAAAATTTAAATTTAAGATTTTTTTTATAAAATAAGACGAGTTTTAATAAATTAAATTAATTATTTATTGGTTAATTTTTATATATTTATATTATATATAAGATTAGATTAGATATATTAACCAAAGCACGCACGAAAAGGAAAATAAAATCATATTAAAATATAGGTAAAGAAACACCGACTCTGTCGAGGTAAAATTTTTTTGTCAAAAGTACGTGCTTTTATAGTTACCAAAGAAAATTTGTACTTGCATTAAAAAGTCGCTATTAAATATGTAATTGAGAATAATTTAAAACAAATGGCGCTAAAAAATAATTTATAATTACAAATTGAATTGAAACTTATTTATAGAAACAATAATAATAGGTATTTGAACAAAATAAATGTATTTAATTTAGTCAAAAATATTTTTAATTTAAAGAGGCATTAAATCATTTTATATGCATTAATTAAAAAATACGTGACATTACATTAAACTATATATATATTCACATAAAATTATTTTTATTTTTGCCAAAAACTTTAAATTTTGAATATTTATATAAGATCTTTTTTTAAAAAAAGAAATGAATGGTCATAGCCAAGCAACTAGTAGGGTGATCAAATCCCTTGTAAAAAAAGAAACGAGAAAAAAAAAATACTATTAATAAACTAGTTTGAGCATGCTTTTTAAAACTATAACCTAGGTTTAAAAGTTTTTTCCGTTAAAAATTCTAAACAATAAAAAAAATGTAATTTTTCGGTTTAAAAGTTTGATTTGCAATTCAAATCAAAAACTCCCAAAAAGATGCTTTGCATTCAAACCCAATTTTTATGGGTAAAATGATTTCATTATTTTTTGTATATTTAAATTTTTATTATTTTATGCATATATTTTTAAATATTTTTAATCACTATACTATTTTTTCACAATAACCCTAAATACTTAAAATTTTTAAATCATATTTTTATCACATTTTTTATCCTAAACTTTTTCAACCATAATAATAATATTAAATTAGACCTTAATTAGCCTAAAAACTCAAAATAAAAAAGATGCTTTACATTCAAACCAATTTTTATGGGTAAAATGATTTCATTATTTTTTGTATATTTAAATTTTTTTATTTTATGCATATATTTTTAAATATTTTTAATCACTATACTATTTTTTCACAATAACCCTAAATACTTAAAATTTTTAAATGATTTCATTATTTTTTGATATTTAAATTTTTATTATTTTATGCATATATTTTTAAATATATTTTAATCACTATACTATTTTTTCACAATAACCCTAAATACTTAAAATTTTTAAATCATATTTTTATCACATTTTAAAACAATTTTTATCCTAAACTTTTTCAACCATAATAATAATATTAAATTAGACCTTAATTAGCCTAAAAACTCAAAATAAAAAAGATGCTTTACATTCAAACCCAATTTTTATGGGTAAAATGATTTCATTATTTTTTGTATATTTAAATTTTTATTATTTTATGCATATATTTTTAAACATTTTTAATCACTATACTATTTTTTCACAATAACCCTAAATACTTAAAATTTTTAAATCATATTTTTATCACATTTTTAAACAATTTTTATCCTAAACTTTTTCAACCATAATAATAATATTAAATTAGACCTTAATTAGCCTAAAAACTCAAAATAAAAAAATATTGAGTAATTTTTTTTGGTTCATAGGAAGTAACGCTCATACAAAAGAGAATAAGGATGACGGAGTTAGAACCCACGCTCACATGTTTTTTATAAAATTTTTTAACCACGAGATCAAAAGGTGGAAAGACTTATTGAGTAATCTCATTGAAAGACAAACCTTACTCAACAAGAATTCTAACCAAATTTAAATTCAGTTAAATAAAAATTATTTTAGTTTAATTAAATTTAAATACTTAATTAATTTGCTTTGAATACAAATTTCAAAAGGTATAAAATCAAATCTTTTTATTCGATTCAAAATTTTTTCAATTAAATCAATCACATATGTTTAGCTAACGTCCAAATTGATAAAACCACTATACTTGGATCATAAACTCCAAATTAACGCTTGAAAGATGCAAAAGATAAATCGGTTTAAAAATGGAAAGCCTGTCTTCCAAGCACATAATGTAGGCGTGACTAAGATACAAGTATCTCAAACTTGCTTCCAAAGTAATTACTTATTTAATTTACATCTTATTTTCTATTTATTTATTTATTAAATATAAAAAATGACCTTTCATGTAACGGAATAAGAGATGATTAAACAATCATACTCAGACGAATTTTGCACTAATCTCAATTTAAACGGTTTTTTTTTAAATACTCAAAATGAAAAATGTTTTCATATAAAACTAATTGAGACGAAGTGAAGGTAACGTTAGGATGCTTCATCTCGTCTCAAGATATATTTTATTATTTATTTAATTTTTATTTATATATTATATTAATAAAATTAGTGTTTAATACTTTAATTTAATAAATTAATTTAATAAAAATATTGTAGTTATATGTAATTAAAAAGTAATTTATATTAAAAATAATATTTTATAAATATTATACTAAATTATGACAAAAAAAGAATGTTATATTAAATAAAAATTATTGAATTAATTTTGGATTGATTTATATTAAATACAAATTATAGACACGTACATCAAATCGAAATCAACTATAATAACAAATTAAATTTTTTATTCTATAATTATGAGATTGAATATATAAAAAAAAATTTATATTAAATCATAATTTTAAATTTTTTACACAATTTATTTCTGTATCAAACCAAAATTATATATAAAAAAAACCAAGTAAATCAAATAAACTATTAAAAAGTTAGATCAAGGCGGAATTAATCTCTTTTTTAGAGCGTTGATCTAACTTTGCCTAAAAGGTTAGGCTAAAATCGTAATTTTGCCTTTAGAAAAAAAAATCACTAGGACTGCTTGACCGCCATTTCCGTACTCGATTTAGATGCTACGGCCCGAAAACTGTGTATTTGGCAATTTGCCAACCGTGTAGTTAAACCGCCTTATCTTTTTTTGTTTTTTTTTTTTAATCTTAATTCTCACAATTTAAAATATTAAAAAAAAAAAGAAGAAGAAAACACTGGAAGAGGCCGTCAAGGAAAACTTTGTAAAGCTATAAATAAATTATGTAACCACGTCCGCGGTAGTGTAACGCTTTTCTTTCTATCAGAAAAAAAAAAAAAAAAAAAACCTCTTTCCTACATCCTTTGTGAACTTTTTTTTTTTTTAATTTGTAATTTTTTAAAGAAACAGATGAATCAAATTGTTGTAGAAGATCAAGTCTCGGTGACTATTGGTGATGACCAAATACCATGTGCTACGTCCGGAAGCAACGAGATTGATTCAGATGGTTTAGAGTTTTTTGTCAAAAGCGGTTTGGCTAAGATACAAGAATCAAGCTTGGAAGATTTCATCATCAGAACAAGCTTTTTTTCAGGCATGGGACAAAACTCGGATTTGGCTAAGAAAACAAAAATCGTGGCAATTCATAAGAATTTAAACTCTAGTTGGTCAGGGAAAGCTCGGGCACAAAGCTTTCGGGTTTTCTCGAAGGCGGTGGCTGACAAGTGTGGTGGTGATGCCAATGTCAAGTATGCTTGGTATGGTGCTTCCAGGGATGAGATTTCCGACATTGTGATGCATGGATTTAGTTGGTGTCTTAGGGCTGATGGCAATCGAGATTGTTGTAGACATAGTATATCTTTGTCTCCTGCAAAATTTTCCTTTGACAGGTAAGCTTTTTCTAAACTGTACTTTCTTATTGTTTTTGTGATGATTTTTATTGATTTGTTATGTTTTGTGGATAATGGTCTAGGTTTTATATATATATATATATTTTTTTTTTGTGTATAAACAAAGTTTTTCTATCCGATGACCATAATATTAAATTTTTTTTATAAATGTCATTTTTTTTTACTCAAAGTTTGTGATGTGAAATATATGTAATTGATGCAAAAAGTTACTAATTTACCATATTTCTAATAAAATTTTTTTCTCATGTATTGCAGTGTGTTGTCTTCAGAGGTTGATGAAAATGGATTGGGGCATTTGTTGTTATGCCGCGTTATATTGGGAAAGCAGGAAGTGGTAACCGCCGATTCTAACCAGTTTCATCCAAGTTCCCCAGAGTTTGATTCCAGTGTAGACGATCTTTCAGTGCCCAGAAAATATATCGTTTGGAGTCCTTATATGAATTCTCACATCCTCCCTTGTTACATCATCAGTTTTGAGGCCCCTTACAATAAATGTAAGCGGCTTAATTCAGTTGCAACTTTTGTTTAGTTTGGACTTGTTTTCATATTTTTTTAATTTAAAAATTTATGTATATGTATTGTATTTATTTCTTATTAAATATTTATAAAATATAAAAATTATCATAATATAATTCTTATCTGCACATAAAATACAAGACACATTTTTTTTTATCAACCCCATATATGAAATTTGTTAATTTTAAATTATATCATTTTTATATATTTTTTTTCTATCATTCTTATATTACATCATTGTTATATTTACATTTTTCATATCTTATAATATAGTGTTTTTAGCCAGTTTGATTTGTGCATCATTTAGGCTCCAATGGATTAGTGGAGGCAAATACCATCAAGCCTAGATCGCCATGGATGAGGTTTCCCACATTGATTTCCATGCTCTCAAGGTTTTTAGGTCCATCAGAAATGGCTTCCCTTAACAAACAGTACAGAGATTTTCGAGTAACTGCATTAAATTCTCCATTTAAACTTTTTTGGCTTTATTGATTTTATGTCATATGCAATTACTTTGAGTTCTGACTCTCATCATTCTATTCCCATACATATGATTTTTACAGGAAAAAAGAATTTCCAGGCCGCAACTGATACAAAGAGTGAAAGAAATAGCTGGAAACCAGTTGTTAGCTGCTGTAGTCAGCTTGTACACAAACAAGGTGCAGTTTGAACTTTTGATCTCTTGTTTTTTACTTCAAGCTCTGCTCCAGTTTTCTTTTTCGCCGTATCCCCATACATCTCATTCTACTTGTTTGCAAAGGTTCCTCTCGTCAAAAAATCCCTTTACAATGTTTATTGCAGATCATGTATATTCCTTTGGGCTTCAACAACTTGCTCTGCAAGATTGAATTATTGCAAATACATGGAGTTCTAGCGAGTGGGCGTCCAGAACCTACGTATAATAATAGCATATCCCAATTTGAAGTCGTCATTCACTTTCTTGTCTCTTTTGAAGCATTGATGGTCCAGCAAAGTCTTTGACTTTACGTGTTTGCCAAGAATATGACTAGTAGTTTTTGTCAAATTAATAATAACTTTCTCCTGTATTTGTTGGAAGTCGCTTTTAAGGTGTTAGTCTCAACTTTCAACTTTGAGCCGATACCTTCCTTAAACAGGAGCATGTGGGTTGGCTAGCTTCTTCAGCATAATTTTCCTTTGCTGGATGGAGATAACTTCCAACCATCCTGATTCTTATAAAATAAATCTTTTCTATTTCAAGATGAATTCAATTTTCTGATTTTAATTTGGTTTTAAATTCACCAATTTCAAGTTGTTAATTGATCAGGTCTTAGTGTGCAGGAGTTAGCAGCAGCAAAAGGCGGTTGATGCAGTTAGTTCGATGATGGATAGAATTTGGAGGCTTTAGTGACTTCTTGTCAATGGAGGCTTCAGTCTTACAATTTAAACAACAGAATCAAATAGGTTATTTATTGTCAATCTATCGTTTTAATATAAGGTTACACTTGTAATCTTCTTCAATTCTATTAAAAAAAAGATGTAGAAAGTTTGGAAATTCGACTGTCTTATGATATCAGCTCTTACTGGGGTCATTGACTTTTGAACAACTTCTAAATGGCTTGGAGGAGGATACCAAATCAGAATTCTTTTTCTTGCTCACATACAGGACTTTGTGTGGAAAAGGGGTGGGCCACCACTTACAAGTTACAAGCAACCGATCAAATACACTATGAAGTTTTAATGAAAATATAAAAATACTAACATAAAATTAAAAATACACGAAATACACTGTTTTTTTATAAAGTGTTAATGTTTTTAATTTAATATTTTAATAGTATTTTGTTGGATAATTTTATTTAATTTATTTCAGATATAAAAAATTTAGAGGTAAATAAATAATTTAAATTAAATATATTTTATTATTCAATTAATTCAAATATTAATCAAATTAAATTCAATATGTTAGATTTTTAAAATTATTAAATTTGATTAAATTAATAAAAATAAAATATTATAGTTCCGTTAATTTAATTTTTAATAACTCATTTTGAGATTAATCAATTTGATTGAATGAATACTTTATAAGATGGATAGATCCATATGATACTTTTAAAATTTAGTTATTACTTTGAGGTTAATTTCTGATTTACACTTTTTAAATTTTATTTAATATTAAAATATTTCAAAATATTTCATAAAATTAAATAAGTAACTTTTTTAATTTTTAATTTTAATTGTTTAAATATAATTATATTTTTTTATATTTGTTGATTAACCATGGACCCATAATTCACTAACTGCATTGGATGGTCAAAAGACCAAAAGTTACATTTTAAAACAAGAGGGACTATAATGTCCTTCAAGATTATTTTGAACGAAAATTTTGGATTCTATCTCGCATTTATCATCTATCAAATCTCATTGAATTTTTTTAGACGATTGAGTTAATCCCATATTAGAAGGATGATCAATGACGGATTTTGATATTTGATTTCAAATTAAATAATTAAAATTATATATATTTCTATTTACTATGTTATTTAAATTTGAAAATTAGTGTCACATACAATTATGTATCCAGCACAAAAATATTCATCATTTTAAGTTTTTTCATATATTTGGATTGTCCAACCTTCATACTTATATTTATCACATATATGTCAAACAAAAATAATTTAAAGAAAATGAAGAATCTGAACAATTAACTTAGTTCATTTGAAGTTTTATATGAAAGAAAAAAATTTTAAAAATCACATAAATATGAGAAGATATATACTCCCTTAAAAAAATAATACACTTTAAATACTTGATTGAAAACTTAAAACCCTGTTAAAAAATTAGAAAGTTAATTTTATTTTTTTAAGTGTGCATGAATGTGATTTAATACTTCTAATAAGTCTATTACTTTCAAGAATTTTTAAATAATAATCATGGAAACAATAAATAGACAAATTATACTATAATTTAATTCTTCTTAAATTACAATACATAAAATTATGTAAAAGATAAAAATAACAATTTTAATGTGATTACTAATTTAATTTAATTTAATATATATAACTATACATGAAACAATTATAGCATATGGTATATATTACAGGGAATTCATAATTTTGGGGTCCGAGGCCCCTGACTCTGTTGCAGTTATATTATATTGTGGACTAATATAGTTAATTAATTTAAATTTAAGTTAATTAAAGTCAAATTATGAGTAATTATAGTGATACCATATTATAATATATTTAAACATATAATATGATTTTAGTTAATTATGATTCTAATTTAATTCTATATTTTGACCTATAATGAAATGAGTCAAATTTGATTAACATATTAGGGAGGATTCTTACTTTCACCTTCATATATACGAGGCCAACTTATTAGGTTTCATAGCTTCAGTTTGAAAGGTAAAGAGTAATTTCTTTCCTTTTTTGTTGTGCAGGTAACTGATCGAAGAGCAGAGGGTGGCATCGGAAAGCACGGGAACGAAACTGAGTTCTCTCCACATTCAAGTCAATTTTAGTTTTAGTTAAATTTTGTACTACTTATTGAATGAGGTTTCGTTAAATCCAATAATTGGTATCAGAGTCGAATTTATCGAAGAGGTCACTAATCACTTCCAATTGTATGGGTGCCGCTATGGAATCTCGGTTTGAGCTTTCAAGATTTAGTTTTCTAAACCCATTCCATTTTTTACATTTTTGGGCTCTAAATTATAGTCTTGTTATTGTGAAGTTTGAACGGGGTTGAAATCCAACATTTTTAGTCCGAAATGGTACAAAAATGGCAACTTTTGGACTCAATAAGATGTGGTTGGGTAAGAAGACCCAAATTGCAAGTAATCGGGTCATGGAGAAGACCAACAGGCAAGTTCTATCCTAAGGAAACAATTAGTTATTGATGCTAAGTTTTTCTTGAATTATAAAAACTCTTTACATTTTTTTTTTTGTGTATACACAAAGTTTTTCTATCCGATGACCTTAATACTGAACTTTTTTTTATAAATGTCATTTTCTTTTTACTCAAAGTTTGTGATGCGAAATATATGTAATTGATGCAAAAGTTACTAATTTACCATATTTCTAATAAAATTTTTTTCTCATGTATTGCAGTGTGTTATCTTCAGAGGTTGATGAAAATGGATTGGGGCATTTGTTGTAATGCCGCATTATACTGGGAAAGCAGGAAGTGGTGACCGCCGATTCTAACCAGTATCATCCAAGTTCCCCAGAGTTCGATTTCAATGTAGACGATCTTTCAGCGCCCAAAAAATATATCGCTTGGAGTCCTTCTATGAATTCTCACATCCTCCTTTGTTACATCGTCAGTTTTGAGGCCCCTTAAGAGGAAAGCGGCTTAATTCAGTTGCAATTTTTGTTTAGTGAGGATTTGTTTCCATCTTTTTTTTGTAAATTTTTTTACAAATGAAAATTTTTTCATCAATAATTAGTCCATAAAATAATAATCGATGAAAAATTTTATTGATAATTTTTACCGTAAATTATGTCATTTTTTTATTTATGAAGTATCGATTAAATTAAATCCGCCAATAAATTTCATCAATAATCAATTGGTATTTCATTGATGATGGTCAAATTTTTTTTACAAATATATTCTATTGATAACTCATTGATAATTACCGAAGAAAAAATTTCGTCGGTGATGTCAATATTTTTTATAGTATTAATTTGCTTGGAATTCAAATTTCAAAACGTATAAAATCAAATTCTTTTTATTTGATTCAAAATTTTTTCAATTAAATCAATCACATATCTTTAGTTAACATCCAAAATGATAAAATCACTATATTTGGATCATCAATTCCAACTTAAATGCTTGAAAGAAAGATGCAAAAGATATATTGATTTTTAAATTCTAACAAATAAAAAAAAAGTAATAAAAATGAAAAGCTTTCATTCCAAACGCATAATGTTGGCGTGACTAAGATACAGCTACCTCGCCCTTTGAATTTTGATTTTTTTTCTAATTACAAAATTACGATTTTAGCATTACCTTTTATAGAAAGTAAAGGAATCTGCTCTAAAAATGAGATTGATTCCGCTTCATCTAACTTTTTAATAGTTTCGTTTGATTTTGCCTTGATCCGATGTCATATTATTATTTTTTATATTTAATTTCGATTTTGATTCGATACATGTATAATTTATATTTAATTTAAATCAATCCAAAATTAATTTAATAATTTTTATTAGTATAACGTTTTTTGTCATCATTTAGTATAATGTTTTTAAAATATTATTTTTTAATATAAATTATAAACACTCATTTTTGTTCGAATTCAATTGGGCCTATTGCGGTCAAGACCCAATTAGACACATTTTGATCCGAGTCCAGTTGGACCTATTCAGGTCCAAGCCTAACCAGGCCCATTTTGGTATGGACCCAATTAAGCTCAATTTGGTCAAGTCTGTCTTGGTTTCAAGCCCATCCTGGCCCATTTTGGTTCAATTAAACGTATTATTATTATTATTATTATTATTATTTATTTTATTTTTCCTTTTTTGGTCTCATTCCTTTTTTTCCTCTTTCCTTTCTAAATCCAATTCACACATGAGTGGAAATCAAAATCAAAATCCCACATGGTCAAAGTTTTAATGTGATTACTAAGATTTTAGACCTAAAATCTCGTTAGGACAGAATTTAATTCCAAGATTCAAGCCTGGGATTGATTCTGCCAATTTCCTAAAATCAATCCTAGATATGCCTATAAATTGAACTGTCTCTAACATACAAGAACAAAAGGGACAAACAAAAAATATAGTGAAAAATACTGAAAGTAGGTTTAGAAAATTCTCGGGCAGAAAGGGTTCTAGAATGTAGTCTTGGGATTTTGGAGTTAATTTGAGATTCTAGGTTCTAAGGTGATCCTAAAGTTGCAAGAGGTTCAGTGAGGGTTTAGGACAATGTAGGAATTTTTTTGGATTTTTTTATGGGTTTTTCCTAGGTTTAGGATGAATTTTCTAATAAGGATGAATTTTTTTATTGAATTTTATGGCGAAAATTGAAGTTTCCGGTGAGATTCCGACGAGATTTCCAGAATCCAACAAATTTTTCAGAAACTAGTGAGTTTTTCAATTTTTGATTGAATTTTTTGACGAAATTTTCAGAAACCAATGAGATTTTCAATTTTCGATTGAACTTTCCAGTGGTTTTTCTAGAGAGAAATTAGAGGTTTTGGGGTGTAGAGAGAGAAAAGCTCTAGAGTTATGAGAAAAAAACGCTGAAGGATGCCTTATATACCACCTCTACACGATGTCATTTTAGGCAAGCTAAGATTTGCGCGTCGACTTGAAAACCAATGCATCGACCAGTGTCCTAACCTAACCTGATCGCAAGTTTTTCTTTTCTCATTTTTATTTTATTTTTTGATTTTATTTTATTTCTAACCTATTTTATTTATTTTATTATTTTTTATTTTTTTCCTAAAAAAAAACAAAAAAATTACTTCTCCCACTGATATCTTTTTTGAAAAAAAATATACTTCAAAAAAAATTTTAAAAAAAAAAATTCTTGAAGATAGTGTTTTCAAAATAATAAATAAATGAACAAAAGTTTTGCAAGGGTTTACTATCCTAATAAAATTCATAAATTATCTGGTAAATTATAAGAAATAAGCAAGGC